TGGAGAATAGCGATCCGTATGGTAATAGAGGATAGTGTAGAAATAGTGATCAGTATAGAGAAATAGTATAGTGAATAGTATGGAGAATAGCGATCCGTATGGTAATAGAGGATAGTGTCGAAATAGTGATCATAGAGAAATAGTATAGAGAATAGTATAGAATAGTGAATATGGTAGTATAGAGAATAGCGATATGGAAATAGCGATCCGTATAGTAATAGAGGATAGTGTAGAAATAGTGATCAGTTTAGAGAAATAGTATAGTGAATAGTATGGAGAATAGCGATCCGTATGGTAATAGAGGATAGTGTCAGAAATAGTGATATGGAGAATAAGGATCCGTATGGTATAGAGGATAGTATAGAAATAGTGATAGTATGGAGAATAGTAAATAGTATGGAGAATAGTATATGGTAATAGAGGATAGTGTAGAAATAGTGATCAGTATAGAGAAATAGTATAGTGAATAGTATGGAGAATAGCGATCCGTATGGTAATAGAGGATAGTGTAGAAATAGTGATCAGTATAGAGAAATAGTATAGTGAATAGTATGGAGAATAGCGATCCGTATGGTAATAGAGGATAGTGTCGAAATAGTGATCAGTATAGAGTAAATAGTATAGTCCGTATGGTAATAGAGGATAGGAGAAATAGTGATCCGTATAGAGAAATAGTATAGTAATAGTATGGAGAATAGCGATCCGTATGGTAATAGAGGATAGTGGTGATCAATAGTGTAGAAATAGTAATATCAGTGTGAAATAGTGATAAATAGCGATAGTATAGTGATCATATAGAGTATGGAATAGAATAGCGATCCGTATGGTAATAGAGGATAGTGTCGAAATAGTGATCAGTATAGAGAAATAGTATAAAGAATAGTATAGAGAATTGTGATCCGTATAGTAATAGAGGATGGAGTAGAAATAGTGATCATTATAGAGAAATAGTATAGTGAATAGTATGGAGAAAAGCGATAAATATAGTAATAGAGGATAGTGTAGAAATAGTGATCTGTATAGAGAAATAGTATAGAGAATAGCGATCCGTATAGTAATAGAGGATGGAGTAGAAATAGTGATCTGTATAGTAATAAAGGATAGAATAGAAATGGTGATCCATTAGACGCCACGTTAACTCCATATATACATTTCCTTTACGATCACTTGGTCTACTTATTAGAAATGGAATCAACTGTGTTTATTCTCTGGTGATCTGTGTTCAAACTCCAGTTTCGGCAGCGACATGTTATTCCTATTCCTATATAACAATATCTAATATCACGAAAAACATCCATCTTCCGAAGATATGTAGACGATATTCGTATCTGAGTTAAAAGCATAGAAAAAATATATGAACTACAAGTAACTTCCAAAAAAAAACAAAAAAAAACTCCGTTCTTAAGTTCACATATGAAATTAACAATAAGAATAGAACTCCTTTTCTTGATATATTCATAAACACCAATAGTAATAATGCCTTTACTAACCCTCATATAAAACAACAAACAATTAGCATAAACGCTTGCACTCTAAACTATAAAAATAAATGTCCTGACTATTACAAAAAACAGCGATTACACAAAATTTAATAAACCGTGCAAAAGTTTAATCATCCACGAAAATAATTTCCTACACGGAATCAAAAAATAATAAACTCTCATTAATAATGACTTTCCTAATAATGAATAAATTACACGGACTATTAGAAATATTAACATAAACCAAACAGAACATAATACTTCCTAAATTAACCCAAAACATATCAAACGAATATATCGAAATCAAATAGACACGAAATGCAAACAATATAAAAATATCCTCAAAATGCTCTTAAATATTAATATCTCCCCCACTGATCCCAGTAAAAAAATAAAACTAATTATACACTATAATAAATTTAATACAACCAACTTAATCACCACAAAAACTCTTCTCCGTCAACTAATATCTGGTAAAAAACCAACATTGTATATCAACTTAAATGTCCTTTGGAAGATTGTAACTTCGACAAAAGCATAAATATATATGTTTGTTTCATGACAAGGACACTATCAAGAAGGCTTAATTTACACATGTCGGATTCAAGTTCTACTGCACAACATTTAAAGAACATTCCTGTCATGTTTTAGAGAAATATTAATTGACAACACATGTATACTCAAGAGTGAAAAAAAATACTTCAAATTTTCGAAGGGATCTATATATATAAAAAATGAAACCAACACTAAATAAAATTAAATATGAGTATAAAAACAATGCTTTAAACTAACTATAAAAGCAAATATTTTGCGTTGCTCAAATTGTTAAAGAGAAATAATTTAAAAAAATGTTTTTGAAAAAATTGCAGGTTGAGTATTTAAAAAAAATAACAGTAGTCCACCGCTATAGCGCGGGCCTTAGGGTCCAAGATGGCCGACTCGCGTTGCAAGTGAATCCCGGTAGCTGTGGGCGTTGGTGGTGGGCTATAATAGGAAGTTAAACACCTACCCGATTTTTGGGCACTATTTACCCTATTTCACGATATATACCGCAGATAATGTCTCGAAAATAACCTCAAACAATTATACTAATTTATGTCAATGATTCCATGAGAAATATCGAGTAATTTGTTTTTTAAGCCCCGCGATAAGTATCTAATAATATCTATTTCTCGAACAGTTATTTTATATTCTAAATTCACATGCCTAATTCGAAAATAACAAAGAAATTTTTATAAAACGTACCATTTGGAAGTTATCGACAATAAAATTTCGGACTCGAGTCGTCGGCATGGCACGGCAGCCATTATTGGCGTTGTTTGCATTCCTGCGTGCGCAATAATTGAGACAAGTGAATGTCGATCCCATAGCAAATATATGCAAACAACGTCAGTAATGGCTGCTGCGACTCGAATGAGTCCAAAATTTTATTGTTGATAACTCCAAAAATGTAGATTTTATCAATTTGTTATTTTCGAATTAAGTATGTAAATTTACACGTAAATAAAACTATTCGGAAAATAATTATCTGATAGTTAGCGTGGAGCTTAAAAAGCAAATTACTCGAAATTTCAACTTATTACAGTGTTTTACAGCAGATTTTTATACAATAAATTTTAACCGTCCTCAAAAGTACTTCCTCTTGCAATGCATTATGGTCTAATTTGAAAAGTATTCCAGCGTTGTAAAAGGAAAAACCAAACACGGAAAGTTTGAATTTATTTCCACAAAAATTACATTTGTTAAACATCATTAAAATCAAAGTAAAACGTGTGAAAAAGGGGTGTAATCATTAAAACAAATTAGGACCCATCTGATGATCACTGTTTTGTCTATCGTGAAGATGGTCCAGAAATTGGTAAAATAGGGGGGAATTTCTAAAAAAAGTGAGCGATACTGAGGTTATGAGGGCAAAATCTTGGTGTCTACCAACCACCAGCGGATTCGCCTCATAGCAGTGGACTACTGTAATAATAAAAAACGTAACTTGACTATAATGGAGCGCATTTCATGCGCATTTACAAAAAAATTCACAACTATCAATTATACTAATATTTGTTTCAGCAATTCCCCCCCACCAAAAAAATGATCTTGAATGAAATTGAAAGTAATTGGGAAAATAAAAAGAAATAACCAAAACTATGTCGTCTTTCTTACTCATTTTTGTGAAAACAATTAGAAATTGCTCCGTGAGGATTAAATAAAAATAAATATGCATAATATGTCTAGATTATTCAACTAAACATGCTTGAATATATATATATATATATATATATATATATATATATATATATATATATATATATATGCAAAAGAACACGTTAGGTGGATAATCCGAAGTTCTTTAGCATTTTTGCTTCTATTTTTAAAAAACAGTGCTCAATACAAAAGTAGAGCCTAAATTATAATTATAATTATTTTAAAAGAAAAATATGATTCCTTCGCTACATAAGAGTTCTCATGTTTCAAAAACAAGAGCCAAAATCTCTGTTTCATCCATAAGCGAAATTTTTGGAATAATAAATATTATTCCAAAAATTTATAAATAATTATATATATATATATATATTTTTTTTTTGTTGCTGTCAACGAATACTCGTTGCCATTTTGTAATGCCAACGAATACTCGTTGTCACATCCGTAATGCTTGTTCTAGTAGAGACTTTGTAATCGCACATACAACAATAGTACGCCGTTGAACAATGCTGGTCTCAGACGCCTTTGAATATCCCTCGCACTAATAGTACTTGCCCGATAATACTAGCTCGAAAAGTAACCACCGAATTGTGATCCAAATAGAGAAATAGTATAGAGTAGAGAATAGCGGTCTGTATAATAATAGAGGATAGAATAGAAATGGCCATTTGAATAGTAATAGTGGATAGACTGGAAATGAGATCCGAATACTAATAGAGGGTAAACTAGAAATGCGATCAATTAGACGTTACGTGACTTCCTAATTATGCGTTTCCTCTAAGGTCAAGTGGTTTACTTAATTCCATAATGGGGTCACCTGTGTTTGCTCACTGGCGGTCTATGTTCAAATTCAAGTGTCGGCAGTGACACTTTATTCCCATATGACACTATCATATCATAAGTCGTATATAAGTATTGAGGATGCAGAAATAATTTTGTAGAATTGTAATAAATTGTACATTGCGAAAACTCCTTTCTTTTTCCTTTTTCTCTTTCTAAGAATTTTGAATTACGGAATCATCTTCGCTCCAGAGGCTTCAATTATTTTCCGTTACAGGAATTGATTTTTTTTTTATTACGGCTTATCAACGTTTTTCAGGTTATCGAAAGCCAGAAATATTTTTAAACCGTAAGAATTTTTTGTGGGGGTAATAATGATTTACTGATACAAGTATTACTAATTAAGCCATAGCTGCGGTTGGGGAGAACATTGATTCATAATTTTCCGAAGGGTATTTGAGAGTAATTGAATATAAAGAACCTTACTGGAATTGAAAATCATCTCTACGATTTCCGAGCCCTTAACCATTACACCGCCCACACCTTGCAGTACCTGGTAATCCCAAGCGGTAACCCACCTAGGTACGGATCAGGTCTGACGTAACTTAATTTCGGTGTTCGGAGGAGAACCAGCCTGTCAACGTGGTATGACCGTAAGCCTACCCGTTACAAGTCTGTATGCATTTTCATTTGAACATAAAAATTAATGTAAATTTTTGCTTGAAGGGAATAGAATAACCGAAGCATTCAATAAAATATTATACACTTTTGTCTACAGTATATGTACCTATTTGAAATACGTTATATATATATATATATATATATATATATATATATATATATATATATATGTGAAAATATATAGAAAATAGGAAGGAACTGGTTAGGTAAATAATCCAAAGTCCCTTAGTATTTTAGTTATTATTTTTTAAAAAATAGTGCTCAATACAAAAGTAGAGTATAAATATAATTATTTATTTAAAAATATGAAAAATATTTATTAAAAAAATATATATATATGTGCATGTATATATATATATGCATGTATATATATATATGCATGTATATATATATATCTATGAAGAAATTTTGAAAAAACAAACAAAAATCCTTAAATGTAGTTTTTGTTTGTTTTTTCAAAATTTCTTCATTCTGTCGGATTTATATCCATTTACACTTGCTTATATATATATCTATGTATATATATATATATATCTATGTATACAGATATATATATATGTATGGATGTATATATATATTTATATATATATATATATATATATGCATATATATATATATATGTATGTATATATATATATGTATATATGTATATGTATATATGTATGTATTTATATATATATATATATGTATGTATATATATATATGTATATATATATATGTATGTAAATATATATATATATATATATATATATATATGTATGTATGTATATATATGTACCTATGTATATGTATGTATATATATATATATATTTATATACATATATATATATATATATATATATATATATATATATATGTATATATATATATATATATATATGTATATATATTGTATGTATATATATATATGTATATATATATATATATATATATATGTATATATGTATATATATGTATGTATATATATATATATATATATATATGTATGTATATATATATATGTATGTATATATATATGTATGTATGTATATATATATATATATATATATATATATATATATATAACAATTGACCTCATAGTCTCTAATAACCTTACATCCACACAGCTAAATCCTCTGCAAAAAGAACAGTGTTACATGCCGAAAATATGTTAAATACGTCGAAAATTGAGGTCGTGCATTCGTTACACACACACACACACACACACACACACACACACACACACACACACACACACACACACACATCCTGCCTTTTATAGATAGAGATGCTAATAATAAAACCGGTACATATATTGGTTTTACTACAACCATGCTATCCCGTAGATTTACCTGTCACCTTTCTGATCCTAGTTCTATTAAGTAACATTTCTTAGAAAAACATAGCTATGTACATAATATTACAGATATTAATTGATAATATAATAATACTCATACATACACACAGTAAAATGAACCTTCAGATATTGGAGGCCATCTACATTAAAATGAAGCAACCCACACTCAACAAAATTACATTTCAAATTAGTCACAATACATTGTATTGCATCTAAACATATGCTTCTGTTGTAATAGGTGGTGGTATGACATCACAGAACTGCATCTTGAACTTACGAACTGCGTCTGCTACTCCGCGACCGTTAACGCATAGCAATCTTCTATGTTAAAATAACAAAATATCATCTTTGATGGTGGATATCTTTGTTCCATGTATGCATAATCATTCTAAGGATGGGTCATGTGAGTCGAATGCTTTGGACCAACCAAAAAAAAATATCCAAATGTTGGACAATTTTTGTCTTTATTTTCAACAGAAATTAAAGCAAGCAATTGAACATTAGAATGGCTCATGATCAGACGTAATAGACATTCATTGTTATATTTAATAATATATGTTTAAATAATGATCTGCTGCCCCAATACAATATATATATATATATATATTAAAGACATTTTATTTATATTTAACGTTGTTATTTTTATAGATACAAGTATTTAAGAAATGCTCTGATTAAGATAAATCCTATTAAATAACAACTTACATGTTCGAATCCTGTCTATGAACGAATATTTTCTATGAAAATTTCGACATTCAGGCCGGTAAATGTTATTTAATACTGTTTATCTTAAACAGAGCATTTGCTTAAATACTTGTATCTATAAAATAACAACGTTAAACATAAATAAAAATGTCTTTAATAAATAAATTGTCGGACCTTGTCCATTTCTTAACATATATATATATATATATATATATATATATATATATAAAGAGGCAGTATATCTTTATACAAACATGTTTTATTTAATAATTGTGTCTACTTATTTTTATACTGATCCTTTCCGGTTGTTTTATCTGTTTCTCGATGTTGCGATGAAATTTATCAATGAAGCCGCTGTAGATTTTTTTTTAACCCAATTACTTTTGACCTTTTCTAAGATCATCTTCTGAAAATTGAAAGATAGAGGATTCCCCCCCCCCACAGATTGAATGGAACATCATCAGTAACTGACAAACTCCTAATAGTTCCACAGACAGATGTAATCTACGCCTGGAAGAAAAAAAAATTAAATAGAAAAATACAACCCAGTTATCGAGCTAGAAAAATGAAATCATATTTAAATGTCGCCATAAAAATAGGTTTAAACTGTCTTAAATATAGAAATTTATTTTGCGTCAAACACTGAAAAATAAAATTGTAACTATGTATGTGTATATATATGTATGTGTGTATTGTATATATGGGCATATATTTATATATATATATATATATATATATGTGTGTGTGTGTGTGCTGCGCATACATATATGTGTTTATCAATGTATTTAATCATTTATGTGAATGTCATGGATATGGTTATATTATAGGTAATTTTAATTACTTTTCTTATTATTTATTTATTTTTTCACCTTTTTTAAAAATATTATATTATATTTTATTAAATATTTATTATTTTTATTTTATGATGATTTTGATAAACATGATGATGATGTTTAAATGAATAACAACATAGATTCCATTTTCTGTAAGTTTTATTACGTGTTGTGGTTAAAGGTTTATCCATAATATCTTTACTACTCCTCTCTTATTCACATATACAAACTTCTTTCTTCCCCCACTTCTCTCTCTCTCTCTTTTCAATAATCTAAGTCCCCACCCCAAAGATTTTAAGGTCAAGTTAAAATTGGTACTTCATTTGTTCTTTTTCTTGCTTATTTTTTAAATGTCTGGTTTACTATCAGATTGTCTAGCTGAATATCATTGAAACCATGGTAGCAGGTATGTAAGTTATTCTTAGTTTTTTTAATATTTGACATTTAGATATCTGCACATTCAATTATTAGGATTGTGTATAGAGCACATTTTAATACAACCTTACCCTGTTCGAACTCAGGTCTGATAATAATCGATTATATATATATATATATATATATATATATATATATCATACTTATTATAAAACCCAGGTTGTGTGTGTGTGTGTGTGTGTGTGTGTGTACGTTTATATACTGGATCGGATTTCCTACATTTTTCAACCGATTTCAACAAAACTTCACAGGACTACGTAAAATTACCTTGCGGTGGTTCTGACAGCGCCAAAAAATGGGAAAAAAACACAATTGTTTTTCCACGAAATCAATTTGAAAACACGATTAAGAGGCATCGCTGTCGAGAATGAAAGGAGACAACTCATATCGAGTTATACTTATTATAAAACCCAGGTTGATTGTGTGTGTGTGTGTGTGTGTGTGTGTGTGTGTTCGTTTATATATGGGATCGGATTCCTACATTTTCAAACCGATTTCAACAAAACTTCACTTTTTTTTTTGGCAGGTAGTGTTTCTTATTGTCTTGCACACTTTTTTTCTTATTTTACATTCAGAATGCTTTAAAAATTCCATTTACAAGACAATTGTTTATAATAAAATTCTATTCAATCGGTAGACTCATAACGATTGAAAACAATGTTTTTGTTTGAGTTTGACCAATTCGTAAAAAAAAAAAAACTAATTAAGACATGCGTGTCCGTCAACCTTAAACAATAATCTTTGTCAATTTTATTTTTCAGTCTTTATGATGGTCGATACTTGATCTATCTCTTACTGTTACATCTCCGGGCAACGCCGGGCTCTACTGCTAGTATATATATATATATATATATATATATATATATATATATATATATATATATATATATATATATATATTACGTATTTCAAATAAGTTTATATTGTGGACAAAAACTGTATAACATATTTTTATTGAATGTTTTCGGTTTTCTATTACCTTCAACCAAAAATGTACTTTTAAGATAAATCAACCAAAGCTTTTATTCACAAGGCCATGTGTCCTCGATCTAAAGTGTTGTTAGTTCAATCCCGGCCCTCAGCAGAGAGAACAAAAAAAATAGAGAGTTGAGATATAAAAGGGGAATTAATTAAAAAGAGATATCCAAAGGCATGCCATGTGGAATTAGAATAATATACCCCACCCCTTGTACTAAATGAAGTTTTCGGTTCGAAATTACAACAAATATCACCTGAAGAAAGCTTGGATGTACAACGGCCGAAACGTCGTGAATATGACAATGAAGATGATAACAACAGTGCGAATATAGTAAATAGTGTAAATAGTTACGATACCGCATCTCAGAAATATAGTCAAGTGCCCTAAGCTTGGATGTGCAGGTAGTGTAATAGATAATGGCTCGGAATTGATAATCAGAGAGCCGAGTTCCAATTCTAGTTGAATTCGTTATATCTCCTCATGCGCAAATACCCTTGACAAAGGTATGAGCCCACTTCTGTTCCTCTACTATGGGTTAATTAGTAAGACATATATCACTAAACCATTATTATCTTAAAAAAAATTCTTACAATCTAATAATATTTTCTGGCTTTGAATAACCTGCAAAGGTGTTGAAGTGTAGAAAACGAATTAATCAATCAAATTATGCATGCTTTCAAAAATTAAT